AAACAGGCACGAACAGAGTTAAAAAGTTTGCTGATTTGTTCAACGGAACTACGTTGCCTTATCCAAAATTTGATTTGGAGCGAGTAGTGGTCTGTACGAGAACTGATTTCTTTCACAGCTGGGCTCAAGTTGAAGAAAAGATATGTAGATACTTAAAGAGGAGTCTTGTTCTTCGTTCGTTTCAACTCAGTCGAGCTCTGTTTTGGGCTAGCAACAAAGAAGAGGCGAGCTCTTTAGGAAATAAGGGCTTGAGATTTTTCGATAAAGGAATGGTGACCAAATTGGAGAATTGGTCAGAGGAGAAGTATGGTAAACCTGAGGTTATTATCTCATATAGAGGATGGATGGCGGTTTGTGATTTGCCATTTAATATGTGGAATGATCAGGTCCTCAAGTTGATTGGGGATATATGTGGTGGATTATTGGATGTTGATCGAAGAAGAAACTCTTTCGTTAATCTCTTCGAGGCTAGATTGAAAGTTAAGAGGTTTCGATAGTGGGTTTTTACTAGCATCCATTAAGGTAAAGATGAGAGGACAATCTGTCATGGTGCGACTGAAATCTCTTTCCAAACATGTTCCACGCAAAGTGGAAACATGGCCAATTGTTTTCTGACAAGGGTCCTCGGACAAATCTAGTGCCGGGTGTGATGTGAAGGAAGACGAAGAAGCAGAAAGAACAGGGCAAACACGTGGCAGCTTAGCTCATGGGCGACGTGTGGAAGGCGATGGAATCAAAAAGGCAGGGGATATTGGTGGTCTCCAAATGGGTTACAGAGGTACTATGGGCCAAGTTCTTCTAAAGGCCCAAATGATTCACAATATCTGGGCCCGTCTTATTGCGACAATGTTTTAACGTATCTTCTAGATGGGTTAGGTTCAAAGCAGCATATGGGTCTTTCGTTAGATTCATCTTATGGGTTAGAGCTCGCGGGTCTTAGGGTTGGGTCACAACTCGTGGTTGGTGTGAGATACGAAAAAGGTGTAGAATTAGGGGTGTGAAATGGTTTTTCAATAGAGGGAATCTCCAGCTCGTCTTTAACTCCATAATTCCTTCATAATTTCATAAGAAAAATAGTAAAAAGTTTATTTCCTTTTTGTTTTTATAATTGGTATCAGAGTTTAGTGAAGAGTTTTTGAAAGCAAGATCAAACTATGTAAGTATTTCTATTTATGTATAAATTTTGATATATATAAATGTGTATGGTGTGCTTTATGTTATAAAAAAAAATTCGTCTAAGTTTTTAGTTGTGCATCCTTTGTATTTTGTATCTTCATAATTATTTGTTTCATTTATAATTGTTGTAAAACTTATATGCTTAATGTATGTCAAAGCCCATATACTCATTAAGATCTTTTGACTATTGGCCATAATTGAGTTGTTAAGATCATAGAGAGAGGTTTTAGGCACCAGATAATATATTAAGAGGGTTTTAGGTACCAACAATAATCTATAATGGCAATTAACCCTGAAGATATAATATACTTTGGAAATACAAAAAATAATGTTAATAATAAATATGATCATAGTTTGCATATTACTAAAGAGTCTGCAAATATAAATAATGTGTGTTCTAGTTTAAATAATATTACTGATATTATGTGTTCTTGGTTTTCTAAATTAGATAAAAATCAAAAAATAAATCAAAATTATCTAGAAACCAAAGTTGAGTCTATAGAATCTAAAATAGACAATTTGGGTTCTATAAATATTGACTTAAATAAAGAAGCAAAAAACCAAATAAATAATTTGGTGACAAAATTAGAAACTATATCTTCATAAACAATAATGGAATGAATAGTCCAGGAGATAGTTAAATCCCTAGGATATTTTATGGTACAGAAGATATTATGGTACTTTAAACCAATACCTATAATAGGACTGAATATGAAAATATTGTTGAAATATTGGATTATTGGAGAAAATTATAAAAAGATCCAGGTTTAGGTATTGATGAAAGAAATATGCTACTAGATCAGATAAGAGAAACTTATCTAAAACATGAAACTTTTTACAGCACTTTAATTATGATATTAATATGTCAACTAATGATGATGACAATCAATCATCCTCATCTGAAGAAATATTAGATCAAGATATTTCACCAGAAATAAATAAAGGGAAAAGAAAGGCAGAAGTGCCAATTGATTCCGAATTATTTGGCACATGGGGAGATGGAGAAAATTTTAACTTTATTCAGACAAATGAAGTTAAAAATGATACTAACACGGGAAGTACCTTCAATCCTATACCTGAGCCAGTAATATCTAGAAAAGATAATAATCATAAGTATCTAATAGTTCAAAATGGCACTTATTTAGATTTGTCTCATGTTCCATTTAACGATCAGGAACAAGCAATTGATGATTGAGCACAATCATTATCCATCATTATTACCAATTATAAAATAGTTGGTCAATGGAAAAATTCATTGATTATATTGCAGCAACTCTCCAAGGAGATGTGTTGCAATGGTTAAGACAGTGGGAAAAATTTGAAATTGAAAAAAGTCAAAAAAACGGCTTTGTTAACAAATTCTCTCATACTTGACACAATTTTAGCTGAGTTTGTAAAAATCATAAAAGAAAATTTATGTGATTGTGCAAGAGATACTAATTTGCAAGCAGATGCAAATTATATTTTAATTAAATTAGAATTATGTAATATTTGTCTTTTTGAAGACTATGTTCAAATTTTTAAAAAATATTATTATCTTATTGATCCACCAGCAAATCAACCCTGGTTAGATCAATTTTTTCATAAGCTCCCTAATCCATGAGATGAGTTATGTATTAAAATATATCATGATTTTCTCAAAAAAATGGAGAATGAAGAATATGATAATCTTGGTTTTCGTATTAATTATGTTCTAAGATTGATAGGAGATTGGTGTCTAGAAGCAAAGGCGAAAAAACAAATAAAAAATCAAATTTCCAACTCACAATACGGTAAAAAATGTTGTGATAAAATTTTAAAAGAAAATTGGAAAATTGGTTGTAATACATTTCCTAAGCGAAAAAGATTTTCCAAAAAATGCAGAAAATATAAATGAAAATATTGGAAAAAGAACAAAACTTTTTCAAAAAAGAAAAAATATATTCGAAAAAAGAAACCAACAAGTGTTTCAAAAAAGAAAACTTATAAATGTTACATTTGTAACGAAGAAGGTCACTATGCACCCGAATGCCCAAAAAGGGGAAAAAGTTCAAAGAAAATGATCAAAGTTCTTGAAGAACAAGATTTTGAAATAATACATGGCGAAGAAATTTCTGATGAAGAAGAAATCTTATACGAAATTTCTAGTGATGAAGAAAGTTCAGATGAAGAACTAATCTTCATGATGACTAATAATAGTCAAGAAATATCTCAAGAAGCAAATAGTATATTTCAAAAAGAATTACAAGCAATTCGACTTGGAGATGTAATCAGAGAAGAAAAAACTTTTACTGACGAAGAATTAGCAAAATTCGAAAAAATACAAGAAGTTGCTGTTTTAGAAATTTATAAACTTTCAAAATTCAACTTCTTTTCAGCAAGAGTGTTTGAATAATATAGTGGTAACACTCAAGCAAAATGGTCAGAAGAAGGAAATATTGATATTCTTTTTTTTTTTATAAGAAAAAGGTTGCAAGATGGAAAAAGAAATATCCTAAAATTCAATATATCCATTATTAGATTAATTCAAGTAACCATAACAGCCTTATTTTGCCAAAGGATAGATACTCCTATTTTGGCAGTAATTTTTTACAAAAGTTTTTCGAACCCAACGAAAGCAATCATTGGAGGAATTCAGTCTAATGTAGCTAATGGAGTAGTTTGGTTTAATGTTAGACCAAATTTCTTTATTTCCATAAATGATCCTAATCTTGTAGATACAGTCAGAATAAGAATTAAAACAAAGGATTAGGAATGAAAACAAATTCTCATGATTTGGCTATTCGTTGGAAAATAATTCACGAATTAACCAAATTTCTTGAAACAAAAATAAGATCAAACGATAATAAAATCGTTGAAATCTTTGAACTAAGACCATTTGACATGGTAATACAACATCCTCTAATGAATTGGAGCGATTTAGAAGTCCCTTGACAATGGTTAATCCAATACCTAGTGGGACAAGGAGAATCTTCTAAAACAAAAAATCCTACACAATTACAAATGCAAGCATCGGGAAAAAATTTATATATTGAAAATACAGTTCCAAAAATTAAAAGATCAACTTCTGTATATGAAAAAGATTTCCCTAACAAATCATTTTCAAAATTAAGCATTGAAGAATCAAGTAATAATTCTAATCAAAAATCTATTACTTCAAACAATGTTCAAATTCCTATTTTCCAAGGAACAAGAAAACAACTTGAACATATTAAGTCTGCATATATGTATCATTTTCAAACAAAAAATGATGATATTATTTTTTCTCCTAGCCAAGGAAAAAGAAGATATACATATGTATTGGGAACATTTAATTTTGCAGGTTATAAACCCTATAGCCTCAGTGTTCTCATAGTTACAGGAGTTACAGTCAGCTTATGTAAATGGAATGCCATACCAAAAGAAGAATGGACATTAATGAAACATCCAATTTTGGTTACTGGAATTGATGGCAACCATACTTCCATACAATTCAAGGCTAAAAATATAACTATTTGGTTAAATGATAGCAAATTCATTATACCAAAAATTCTATGTTTTCCTTATATGCATGGAGATTTCCTTCTTGGAAATAATTTTATCTATAAATATCTTCCAATGCAAATACAGGAAAAAGTCATTTCACTAAGCATAAACAATGTCTTAATTCATATTCCCTTGTTAGAATAACATAAATATATTTGTGATAAAGAGTTTGCGCCCGTGCCGCGTGGTGATTTAACTCCCATCATCAAAACTATTGATGAATTACATTGGATTTATAAAATTCTAGAAGAAAATTTTAGTGAACATCCATTAAAAGTATGGCAACGTAGCCCACATTATTGTAGATTGTGACATGGGTCTGTACGCCTTTCTTCTAGATCACAAGGAGATTATATAGATGAACACAAAATCGATAAAAAAAATTTCGCTACCAATTTACCTAGGTTGCAAAGCATTCTTCATCGCCATTCAGATGGGATACAAGGAGTTGCTATGGATGATCAAGTAAGGGATTCTCATAATGATAAACAGAGATCTCTTATTGTGAAATAGATCCAACCAGAACTAGTTAACATGGTGGATAGAAGATGAGGGGATTTGCAACAATCAAAGAAGGAGATGGATGACTGGGTTAAAGGTAGGATTGAAATGGATAGCGAGGTTGAAAACTTTATTTGTAATGTGGATGATGGACATTTCGAGCCTCACGAGGTGTTGCAAGCTCTGGGTAAGTATGGGTCTGATGATAGTTTGGCGTATCAAGAGGAGTATGATTTGGAGCTCAATAAATCCTTTAATGAGGATGGTGCTATTGAGGAGGAGGAGCTTGAGAGGGTCTTTGATTCAATGGAATAGTTAAGTGACTTCTTTAACCATAATGTTACAAGGTCGACTCCTCAGGAGGAACACACTACTTTCATTTTCTCTTCTTGTCCTGGGATGGGAGAGGGGTTTTTACAGAGTCCTATTCTTAATGTCTCTAGAGTTGTTCGATAACCAAGGAGCTAACCCAATTAGTCCAAGGGCCATTTTGTGTGTTTCTACTATCAATTTTGAGTCTTATAACGCTAATATTACTGATGGTTTTGTGGATGATACCCAAGATGAAGTTTCTATTAATCATAGAGACAAGGGGGGTTGTGTTTTTAGTGGTTTTAGTGAAAGTGAGGCTGAAATGGAGAGATGGTTGAAGGAATTAAGCAAATTTGTGTCATCCCCAATTGAAAAAAATGAAGTGCCCCATTTTAAGCACTTATTTCAGGTTATGGGTTTGTCATTGGTGAGAATTAATGGAAAGTTTGATTCAGGTACAAAGGAGAAAGGGAGGTGGACAAGGGGGGGTTAGTAGTAGGAAGGGGGCGAGGGAGTTAAGGAACTTGGTGAGCCCCATCAATTATGATAGGGGAAATGAAAGGGTTATGGGTGATGATGTTTCTCAATGAAGAACATTAGTTGGAATGTACGAGGTCTGGGATATCAAAAGAAAAGAAGGGGCTATTAGGGACGTTTTGAAGAAACATCAACCAGATATTATCATTTTTCAGGAAACTAAGAGGGAAGTTTGCCATAGGAATTTTATTAGGACTATTTGGGGGTCTAGGCACTGGCAATGGGCTTTTGTACGTTCAGATGGTAGATCTAGGGGTATTTTAATCATTTGGGATCAGAGGGTCGTATCAGAGTGCGCGTCTTTAGCTGGTGAGTTTTCATTAACAATTAGGTTTAGGAATCTGGACAATAGTAAGTGGTGGCTGATGGGGGTTTATGGTCCGAACAGCCCTTCTAGGAGGAGGGAGTGATGGGAGGAGTTATATAGGTTATATGGATTGTGTTTTCCAATTTGGTGTTTAGAAGGGGATTTCAATGTGGTTAGAAAGGTCTCGAAAAAGATCACTGGGAATAGGATCAATAGGGAAATGAGGGATTTTGATGGGTTTATTAGAGAGTGTGAGTTAATGGATCCTCTTCTCTTTAATGCTAGGTTCACTTGGTCAAATCTGCTGGAAAATTTCCTATGTTGTAGATTGGACAGATTTTTATTCTCGTTGGGATGAGAGGGAGTTTTTCCCAATGTGAGGCAGGAGACATTACCTAGATTAGTTTTTGATCATTGTCCCATTGTGATAGAGAGTTGTCATTTTAAGTGGGGATCAACTCCCTTCAGGTTTGAAAATATGTGGTTGAACTATTACTCTTTCAAGGAAAATTTTGTGGGATGGTGGCATAATGCTAGATGTCATGGGTGGATGGGTTTCAAATTCATGAGAAAATTGAAGATGATTAAAGAGGATGTGAAGCGCTGGAATAGGGGGGTTTTTGGGAACTTGAAGGCTTCAAAATCTCAAGTTAAGCATAGGATTGAGGAAATTGATGCAAAGGAAATACAAGGGGAGATGAATGGGCCAATGAGAAGAGAAAGAAATGAGTTAAGATTGAAATTGAAGGAGTTGATTTTTAGTTTTTGGGCCCAAAAGGCAAAGGTAAAATGGTTAAAAAAGGGAGATATCAACTAAATTTTTTTTTCACAAGATGGGGGATGGAAAAAGGAAGAAGAAGTTTATCAAAAGATTGGAGGTTAGTCCACGGGTAGTGGACGAAAGGGAGTGTCATATAGTCAAGGAGATTTTTGATTTTTATTCTAAGCTATATTCAAAGTATGGGTTGGTTAGACCAAGGATCGAAGGACTTGAGTGGGTATCTATTGATCAAGCATGTGCAAGTTGGTTAGAGAGACCTTTTGAGGAATAGGAGATTAGAGAAGCGGTATTTGATTGTGAAAGAGACAAAGCTCTAGGTTTGGATGGTTTTTCCATGACTATTTTTCAAGATTGCTGGAGGTGGTGAAAGAGGATTTGTTTAGAGTTTTTAAGGAATTTCATGATACAGGAGTGGTTCACTTGTGCTCAAATGCCACTTTCATTTGTTTAATTCCTAAGAGTGAAGGAGCTATCAGGATGGGGGATTTCAGACCTATTAACTTGGTCACATCACTTTACAAGATTTTGGAAAAAGTGTTGTAAAAAAGATTGAGATCTTCATTGGATGCTACTGTTTCTCCATCACAAGGGGCTTTTGTGAAAGGTAGGCAAATTTTAGATGTGGTTTTCGTGGCAAATGAGGTGATGGAGGATTGTAGGAGTTTAGGGAAGGAGGGGATTGTCTTTAACATAGATTTTGAGAAAGCTTATGATCACGTGGATTGACAATTTCTGGATTTTGTAATGGAAAGGAAAGGTTATAGTGAGAGATGGAGATCATGGATTAGGTGTGTTTAGCGACTTGTGACATATCTGTGATAGTTAATGGTAAACCAGGGGAGAGCTTTAAGGCTTCGCGAGGACTCAAGCAAAGGGATCCTTTATCTCATATTCTTTTTATTTTGATGGCAGATGTGTTAGGTAGGATGGTGGATAGGGCTAGAGAGGTAGGCTTGTTTGGAGGTTTACATGTAGGTAGGAGTATTGTTAATGTGACACATTTACAGTTTGCGGATGACATTATTTTCTTTTCCTCGTGGGATGAAAGTCAAATGATTAATGTTTTTTCAGTGTTAAAATTGTTTGGGGTGATTTCGGGGCTTAAGGTTAATCTGGAAAAGAGTAGCGTGGTGTGGTTGGTATTAATGTAAAAAGTGATCATCTCCAGAGAGTGGTTGTGCTTCTAGGATGCAGTGTTGAGACATTCCTGATTAAATTTTTGGGACTTGCTTTGGGAGGTAATCCTAAAAATGGGTCATTTTGGGCTCTGGTTGTGGAAAAGATAGGGAAGAGGTTGGAAGGATGGAGTAGGGCTTTCGTGAGGAGGTAGGTTCACTTTAGTTAAAACAGTTCTAAGTTGTATTCCAGTCTACTTTTTGTCTCTGTTTAAGATTCCAGTTAAGGTGGCAAGGTCTTTAGAAAAATTGATGCGAGACTTTCTTTGGGAGAGGAAAGATAAGGGCAAAAAGGTTCATTTGGTGAATTGGGAGGCAATTTCCTTTCCTAAGGAAAATGGGGGTTTGGCCATAGGTAACATAGTAGCTAGGAATACAGCTCTACTTGGCAAGTGGTTATGGAGATTCCCAAATGAGTGTGATTCATTATGGCATAAGGTTATTAGAAGCAAGTATAGGATTCATGTTAACGATAGAGATTCGTAGGTGGTCACTAGGGGTAATGGGCGAGCTCCTTGGAAATCAATATCTCGTATTTATCCAAGTTGGTTCTATTTCATTTATGTAAGGGTAGGTAATGGGAAAATTGCCAAATTCTGGGAGGATGCTTGGGTCGGTTCTTCCTTCGCTATGTCTTTTCCACATTTGTACAGAGTGTCTCTGTCTCATAATTGCTCTATTGCTTTTATGGCATGCTTATCTTTAGCTCCAATTTCTTGGAATTTTAATTTTCCTAGAAATCTTAATGATAAAGAGGCTCGGCAATTGGTGGGTCTGTTGTCAAGACTTGAACATGTCTCTTTGGTTCCGACTTTAGAGGACAAATGGGTTTGGGCTGTTCATTCTTCGAGCTCATTTTCTTGTAAATCTTTTTTTGACAAACTCATTGATAAGTCTCATATACCTTTGTTCCCTTTTCACAAGAAGATATGGATGGCATGTGTTCCTCTTAAGGTAAAGATGTTCATGTGGATTTTGGTTCATGGAGGCACTTTAACAAATGATACATTGCAAAGAAGGAGGCCTTCCCGTTCTCTAAGTCCTCAATGGTGCATAATATGTAGGAGTGGTGAATCTTTGGATAATTTAAGCGAGCTTATGGCAAAGTTTGTTTTGTTTGGGGAATGTTATGTGGGTGGCTCCAAAAGGAAGTGCACAAATGACTTTAATTGATTTTCAAGTATTGGGGCGGTTGAAGAGGGCCAAGGTGCTTTGACTTTGTGCTATCTTTGCAATTTTCTGGATCATTTGGTCGGAGAGAAATGGGTGCGTTTTTGAAGAAGAATCTTGGGATGTTGATTTTTTATGGGATAAAGTTTGCCATTTAGCATCGTTTTGGGTGTCGAAGAGTCTTTTGTTCAAAGGAATTCCGCTCTTTATGATTTTCAGCAGATTAGGTGTTAGTTTGTGATATATAGTGTTTTTTAATCATTTTGGGTTTTGCCTCCTTTTGTTGTTTTTGTTATTTTTAACTTGTACTTTTTTTAGAGGATGCCTTATGCTCCCTTCTTTTGGCTTTGTGCCTTAATAAAATCTTTGTTTGTTGCTGATAAAAAAATAAAGATTTCTCCAATAATTAAATTTTGTATGCATTATAATAGTCAAGGGTATGTAGGTAACAAAACTCATGCTTTGGGCAATTGTTATCTTATGTATTTATGTAGACCGCCCGAAACTCCGCTCCGCGCGCGAGGGCTTGAATTGTAGTTCTAGCTACTACAGTTCGGACTCCTATCACGGTTCTGAATCTAATCTCACAAAGTGCAATATAAGATTGATAAATCACCAAAGAGTCCAAATCCGGCAAATCGTTTTGGAAAATCGATTTTAATCAAAAAGTGCTAAACATGGA